TTTTTTTTTTTTTTTTTTTTTTTTTTTTATTTCTTTGGGTTTTGTTTGGTTTTTAAGACAGGGTTTCTCTGTGTAGCCTTGGATGTCCTGGACCAGGCTGGCCTCGAACTGATGGAGAGCCACCTGCCTCTACTCTCCGAGCGACAGGATCACAGGCACGCAACCCTGGGCCCTTGTTTTTAAGTGGGTGTTGGTGGTGCACACATACAGATGGCGTTCCAGGACAAACTTTGTCTTGAAAAAAAATTTTATTTTTAATCCTCTGTGTGTGTATATATATATACCTAAAGAGGCCGGAGGCATTGGATCCTCTGGAGCCAGAGTTACAGAATTATAAATTATAGGCAGTTGGGAGAGACTAACAGCCTTCTCTCCAGACCCTCTTTCCTCTTTTATGTTTAAAATAAAAACATTTAGCTGGGCACGATGGTGCACGCCCTTAATCCCAGCGCTGGGGGGGTGGTGGGGGTGGGTGGGGTGGTACAGAGGCAGGCTGACCTCTGTGAGTTCCAGGCCAGCCTGGTCTACAAAGCGAGTTTTAGGACAGCCGGGGCTACACAGAAAAACCCTGTCTCAGAAAATCAAAACTAAAAAAGCAATTGCCACCTAGATGACCTGAACTGGAACCCCCAGAACCTGCAGGAAGCTGTGAGGCGACTGACATCTATAGCCACAGGTGGGGCGGGAGGATCCCGGAATCTGGGGGCCAGCCTAGCAGGCCATCTGCATCAGCAAAGACCCAGTTTCAAATGGGGTGGAGGACAAGCCCACAACTGATGCTGTTTTCTGATCTCCCTCTGTGGTGCACAAATGTCCATACACATCATGTACAGATTAAAAAGAAAAATAGGGCTGGAGAGAGACTCAGTAGTGAAGAGTACTTGCTGCTCTTCCAGAGGACTGAGTTCAAGTTCCTAGCATCCATGTCAGGCAGCTCACTTGTGGCCCAGCTCAGCACTTTCATTCGCCCACCTGAAAACGCCAGCTCTCAGCTGTATAGTTTAAGGCAAACATGTACTACACAAAACCTTTCTTTAAAAAACAGAAACCCACACCTTTAATCTCAGTTCTTGCAGGCAGAGACAGGAGAAATTCTTTTGAGTTTGAAGCCAGCCTGGTCTAAGTTCCAGGACAGCCAAGGTTTCACAGTAAAAGGCCATGTCTCAAAGGGGGAGGGGCATTCTATTAGGGTTCCTCCCCTCCTCTCTTTTCCTTAGCAAATGGATTTTCATTATGTTAAACAAAACAAACAAACAAAAACAAAAAAAAAAAAAACAAACCAAAAAACTGGCAAGGGACATAGCACAGTGGGGACCCCTTCCTGGGTGTTTGCAGGCCCTAGATTCAACCCCTAGTGCCATCAAGTAAGTATAGTTCAAAGCTTGCTTTCTTTCTTTTTTTTTTTTTAGTGTCTGGAGAAGTGTGCTACTATTACTTAATTTTAGAATATTTTTTATAATCCCCCAAAAGATTCTTCCCAGCTTTTTTTCCCTCCTTTATAGTCATTAATAGCACATTCTCCAACTTCCCAAATTCCTTAGTATTAGACAACCAAGCACTAACCCATTTTGTTTCAGTGAATTGTGTCTGTGATCAAATTTAGGGCCTTATTAATTCCAGTCATAGGGGCTGGAGAGACGACGGCTCAATGGTTAAGAGCACTGTCTGCTCTTGCAGAGGTCCTGGGGTTCAGTTCCCAGCACCCACATGGCAGCTCACAACTGTCTGTAATGCTCATTCTAAGGGATCTCACATTAATGCACATAAAGATAAACAAACAAATTCTAGTCACTACCCCTGAAATAACAGAACCCCTAGTCCCAAGCTTTACACCATTTGGCTTTCCCAGTTGTGCCATGTATCTAGTAGTTCATTTCTTTTTCCACACTAGGTTGGAATTTTAGAGTTTTACTATGTAGCCCTGGCTGGCAATCTCCCTGTCTTAGCCAGGAGATGGGCTTACACGCATGTATTAGCACACCCAGACAATGACCTTCGGCTTCTGGTTTTCCTTCCTCTGCTGGGCTTACGGATGGGTGGCACTGCGCCTTGCTTGGAATTGGAATACGCGGCCCTGCTTGAACTAGTGAGCCGCTTATCTCAGCTTTCTCAGTGCTGGATTTCGGGTGAACAGTCCACTGTGGTACACAAATGTAATACATGGAACTAGTGTTTGCAGCTGACATGCATTCCCAGTTGCAAGCACCCCAGTGAGCTGGAAGTTGACATCATTTAATGCCTTATTCAGTGGTAAGGAAATTAAAGTACAGTAATTTGAAGTGATTTCTCAAAATTACAAGAACCAGTTTAAGAGTCTGGACTCCAGGCCAGGTGGCGGTGGCGCACACCTTTAACTCCAGCTCAGGAGGCAGAGACAGGTGGGACTGTGAGTTTGAGGCTAGCCCGGTGTGTATAGAACTAGTCCAGGATAGCCACGGCTACAACAGAGAAACCTGACCCGAAAAAAAAAGAAGTAGAAGAACAAGAACGGCCTGGATTCCTCAAACAGGTTTGTTTTGTTGGGACGGGAATTTACCTTGAAAGAGCAGGCCGGCCTTGAACTGAGATCCACCCGGCTCTCCTGGGGCCAGGGCGTGGGCCACAACGCGCCCAGCATTTTCAGCATTCTTCTAAGGAGTAAAAATTCTGATTTTTAGTGATTTAGCGTGTCAAAGCAATTTAACACGGCACTGTTTTAGTTTCCAGTTCTCCCGCTTCAGCCTCCCACGTTTAGGGTTCACTAGAACCATAAACTTACATGGCCAACTTCACGTGTTGGCCAGACTTAGGTCTCCTGCCGCAGGCTCCCCGCGGGCACCAGTCGGGCAGGAGTGAGGGCCACTCCTAACGGGGCCTGACTTCCGAGGAACAAGGTCCACTCGAGAAAGCACGCGGGCACGCTATGTGAGTCTCTTTATTTGGGATTCAGAACGGAAGAGCTTGCGCGCTAGCTACGGGAACCCTCGGAACCAGGGCTTGAGCGAGACGGGGGCCGGTATGGGGCAGCTGCGGCTTCCCGTGGTTTCCGCGGCGCACAGGCTGCGGAGGCCCAGGGCAGCCGAGGCGGCGGCTGGGCGAGCGCGCCCTCGAGGGAGGAGGCTCTCGTCGGAAAGCAGGCTCTCGAGCGCGTGCGGCGCCGGGGCAGAAGGGCAAGTCCTCCGAACGCGCTGCCGCAGCCCGGCCGCGCCGGCGAGCAGGGCGCGGGCCCGGCGCATGCGCCCCAGGCGCCGCCGGCGGCACTCTGGCGTGGTCTCCGCGGCACAGCGTACGGCCGACGTCTGAGCTGGAAGGGGCGGTCGGGGTTCCCAGCACGCATGCGCGGAGACCCAGGCGTTTCCTCCGGAGGGTGTGGAGCGCAGGGCTCTGTACTGCGCAGCCGCGGGGGCCGTCCGGTGGCGCAGGCTGTCGATCAAGGGGAGGGAAGCGGAGGTGGAAGGGCCGAAAGAGGCCGGTGCGCCTGCGCAGTGTCCCCCGGCTGGAGGCGCTCGGGGCGGGAGAGGGGCGGGGTCACGCGTGCGCGTCATCGGAGGGGTAGGTGGGAGAGAGGGTGGAGCTCGGGGAGGGTCCGTGCGCCTGCGCAGTGCGGGGGTGGACGGTGTAGGAGCCGCCCAGCGCGCCTGCGCGGCTGTCATAGGGCCGCTTGGTTGGTCAGTGGGGAGTCGGCGCCTGCGTACTAAGACCCGTGTGCAGCAGCGGCGGCGGCGGCGCTAGAGGCGGCGGCGGCGGCGGCGGCGGCAGCAGCGGCGGGTTCGGAAGCGGCGGTTGGGCTCGCGGCGAGCGGACAGGGCCGAGTCAGTGCGTTCGCGCGAGGTGAGGGCGGGCAGGGCGCGCCTGCGCGCAGCGTCGGTTTGGAGCAGGAACGAGGGACGGAACTGCGAGGGGGTCGGGGAGGGGGGCCGAAGGGAGCGGCGGCTGCCGCCGCACGGGCTCCGTCGGGGAGCGGCGCGAGGTGCGGAGAGGCGGGCGCCGGGCCCGGCGGGCGCGAGGGGTGACGGTTGGGGCCGGCCGGGTGACGTTGGAGCGACGCAGGGCGGGGGACGGCGAGCCGCGAGGCCGCCACGCGGGAGAGGCCGCCAGGCGGCCGCGCCGGGGCGAGGGGCCGGGGCCCGGATCGGCCGGGGCGAGGGCTCCTGGGCCGTTGAGGACCGGCGCTGGGCGGCCACGTGAGGTGGGGGAGGGGGCTGTGCGTGAGAGGGCATGTGGAGGGGGTTGGTGGCCGGCGGGGGGAGGGGAGACGGCGTGGCCCCGGCCGGGCTCGGCTTTGGGGCAGGGGCGGCCGCGGCACCGGAAGTGTTCCGGTTGGAGGCGGCCCCCGGGGGCCGAGGCCATGCGGCCGGACCCGGACCGGGGCCGCATGGCAGCACGGGGACCCCTCCCCCCTGGCCCGGGCCACCACCGGAAGCCCCGGGCGACCACATGGTGGGCGCGAGCCGGCAACCCCCAGCGCAGGGAGGTCTGGTCTTTTTGGGGTTTGTACGGAGCCTTGGGTTTTGGTGTGCGGGCGAGACCCTAGCCCGGGGTCTCGGTCACCCCGCAGGGCCCGTTGTAGGCATATGTTAGTGGTGCTCCCCAGCCTCATGGGCCTCTGGAGCTCATACCCAAGCCCTCCTGTGAAGTGAGACGTCAGCAGATGTAAGTGCGACTGCTTTGCTGGAGAAACCGAGGGCGATTGGGGGAGAGCCCAACTCTTGGCCCGTGCCGACAGCGCCCCAAAGTACTGAGCTAGTTCCCCCCGCTGTGGTCCTCGCTCTTCACCCTCCCGCTGCCTTCCCTGATGTTTGGTTGGGGAGTTGCTGTGTGAGCCCTTAACCGTACCAGCCTGGGAGGACTTCTGTTGCTGCCACCAGCCTTTTCCTTTCGTTTTATTGTCATTCACCACCCCTCGCTCCCCCACTTTCTACTGACTGCACAGGCTAGGCCTGAAAAGCCGACAGAACTGGTGCATCCTGGGAAAAGTGGGAGGGCCATCGACAAAAGGCCGAGTTCCCTTAGGGAACCGAGATCGAGGTGTTTGGCAGTGGGGTCATTTAGGAAACTACTTTCTCCCCATTGACGGCATCAGCGAGTGCGTGCTGGAGGCGGGAATCCCCGAAAGAGGCCTTGTGGTTTCCTGTACCAATGGCTGGCTTGTGTGTGGATGGGTGGGGGGAGCCTTGTCCTCGTCTCCACCCCTTCATTAGCCCCGCCCTTCAGCTGGCTCCTAGCTGCTCACCTAATTATAGTCCTGGCAGTGTGCGGGGACGAGGGGGTGGTTGGTTTCAGTGGCAAGTAACACCTGAGTCCTCCTCCTCCCGGGAAGTAGCCCTTTCCTCATCTCCCAACTCCCAGGAGGCTTCCTTTCCCAAGCCACAACTTGAGATTTCCCTGTGGGGGTCACGGGGGATCCAGCGTTTTGCCCCTCTAAAGCACCAGCTCTTACAGTGTGTTTGACTCCAGTTTCAGAGCAGGAAAACCGCCTTTAGGTGGGTAATGGGGTAGAGGGGGAAATGGAGCGAGGTTTAGAGGAGCGGGATAGATTAGCCGTCCTGGTAACCTCCATCCTTACTGACCCTAGTTCTCTTCTTGGCTTTAGTTGGAATCGAAGCCTCTTAAAATGGCAGATGATTTGGACTTCGAGACAGGAGATGCAGGGGCCTCAGCCACCTTCCCAATGCAGTGCTCAGCATTACGTAAGAATGGCTTTGTGGTGCTCAAAGGCCGGCCATGTAAGATCGTCGAGATGTCTACTTCGAAGACTGGCAAGCATGGCCATGCCAAGGTTAGAATCGCCTTCCCTGCATCTCCCACATCCATAGGGCTCTGGGCAGTGAACTGTTGGTTTCAGCCCCTCTTACCATTCTAGTTTTTCATTCAGCACCCAGCTTTTATTCCAATTCAGAACTAAACCGTTCCCAGTCTGTTCCGTGGGGCACCTGTCATTCTGTCCTAACTTTTTTTCCTCGTGTGCTAGTCTCTGGAGTTTTATCCACAATCCGTTACGCTTTGGATTCCACTTCTTGATCTTGACCTTCGTTTCCCTCTCTTTTCTTTTTCTTTCCTCCTTTGGGCCCATTTCCTAGAGTTCTGCAGTCAAGACCCACAGGAAGGCAGCATGGGGTGGGAGGCTCCGGTCTGGATTCTCAAATCACTTAGCTTCTGCTCCCTCCAATTGTGGCTTTCCCTTTGGAATTGTGATGTATCTTCTGTCCTTAGCTGGTTCTGATTACTCAAGAGTTCTCTGTACCTTGGCTTACTAAGTCTAGGTTCTCTCTTCGTCTAGACTTTGTCCCTGTCTTCCTCAGTTCAGCCTGACTCAGTGGTTTTTGGTGGTTTGTTCCCTAATGATTTTCTATCTTGTTGACTTGGCATTCATAACCAGGCTGTCCTTAGTGCTTGATCCCCTTGTTTTCCTTGCACACTAACTGCATAGTTCATTCCAGTCTTTCCTTGGGTCGTTTTCTTCAGGTCTTTTACATTTGTTTGCTTCATTTCTCTCCTCAGCCTCTTTTACTTATTTCATTATATCAATTTCCAAGGAACTTATACCCAGCCTGACCCACCCAAGGGGGGAAAAAAAAAAATACAGTGAAACCGGGTCTCGTGTATTCCAGGGTGGCCTCAAACTTGAAGTTCCTCCTGCCTCTTCCTTTCTAGTGCTGGCTTTCCAGGCATGTGCTGTTGCTATTGGTTTGTATGGCACTAGGCATCAGGGCCAGTGCCCTGTACATGCTGGGCAAGCCCTACATCATGTGTCCAGTCCTTGTCAGGGCGCTGGGGTAACTTCCATGTAAATGAGTTCCTGAGACTTGACAGCTCAGACACTGGCCTTGGGACTTCAGTGTATCTTTCTCACTTGGTTCGTTTCTAATTCCTTAATCTTGGGCTGTAATGTGTGCCTTCTCAGTAGCCATGCGTAGCCTTTACCCTCCTGCCTGATTGACTTGCTGGGTTTCTCTTTGATGTATGTGCACAGGTCCATCTGGTTGGTATCGACATTTTTACTGGGAAGAAATACGAAGATATCTGCCCGTCCACTCATAACATGGATGTCCCCAACATCAAAAGGAATGACTTCCAGGTATGTTTTTGGGATGAAGGTGGTTTAGTGGTTTGTGAAGGCTGGGCTGGATGAGTGTGTTGACCTGCAGCTCGTGGGGAAAGGGCACTGGTGGAGAGGATATTCAGTGAAATTGCTGTCCACTAGTTGGTCCATCATTCTCTCTATACTTAACCTACCTGTACCTGCTTTTAACTTCTTTCTCCCAGCTGATTGGCATCCAGGATGGCTACCTATCCCTGCTCCAGGACAGTGGGGAGGTCCGAGAGGACCTTCGTCTGCCCGAGGGAGACCTTGGCAAGGAGATTGAGCAGAAGTATGACTGTGGAGAAGAGATCCTGGTATGCTGCCCTTCCTTCCTTACTCTGCTCTGTTCCTTAAGCTTCAAAACTCCCCAGTCGAGGCATCTCTGGACTGTTCTTTGCTTTTCCAGATCACGGTGCTGTCTGCCATGACAGAGGAGGCAGCTGTTGCAATCAAGGCCATGGCAAAATAATGGCTCCTAGGTGAGTGTGGCGGCATTTCCTGCTCTTCACTCACTCTCACTTTCACCGGCCTCTCTCTGCCCCTGGTCTGCTCCTTTCATCCTGGTACTGTCCTGTCCTAAACATAATTTTTTATTTTTCTTTTTTTTTTTTTTTTTTTTTTTTCAGGGTGGCGTGGTGGCAGCAGTGATCCTAGAGCCTACAGAGGCCCTCCCCCAGCCAGGTTCTACTCTGGCTGGGCCCTTGGCTGGACTCCTATACAATTTATTTGACGTTTTATTTTGGTTTTCCTCACCCCTTCAAACTGTCGGGGAGACCCTGCCCCTCACTTAGCTCCCTTGGCCAGGAATGAGGGAGCCATGGCCTTGATGAAGCTACCCACCTCTTCCCCTGCAGCCCTGCGTGGGGAAAGGGAGTGGGTGCTGCGTGTGGTTTCGGCTCCCTCCCATTACTTTTTAATTCACTTTGGAATCAGAAAGCTGTGGATTCTGGCAAATGGTCTTGTGCCCTTTATTTCTTTATCCCTGGTCTGGCCCCCTGGTCTCCATAGTCCGTCACCCCCAAGCACCACTTGTACAGACTGGGGACCAGCCCCCTTCCCTGCCTGTGTCTCTTCCCAAACCCCTTTAGGGGTGGTGAGCAGAGGTGGGGTGAAGGGGCACGCTCCCTCCTCAGGCATCTGGGAGGGCCTTGCCCCCATGGGCTTTACCCTTCCCTTCAGGCTCTCTCCCTGACACATTTGTTAAAAATCAAACCTGAATAAAACTACAAGTTTAATATGAAGCCTCAACTCAGTTGTTTATTTGCTGGTGGAAAGAAGCTTTAAGGATAGAGACGAGGCTGCTGTTGGCAGCCAGGCCAGTCTGTGGGTTAGGCAGCTAGTGGGAAGCAAACACAGCAGTCGGGCAGTGGTAGTGGGCATATTTTATTGGTTTGGGGTGCACAGGAAGAACCCCCCACCCTGAAGGATGGAGGGTACGTTGGAGTTAGCTGGAGGTTACTTGTGGTAGAATCGTGGATTCTGGCTGTGTTGAATGAAAGGAAGTCGAGGGCCAGGCTGGCTGGTAGTGGCAAAGCCTGACTGGTGAGGATAGAAGTTTTTATCAGCTGGTGTAGGTATCTCACTGAAGTCAGCACACGGAGAAAGGGCACCTGCAGCCTTACCTTTGCTGCTGCTTGCATCTGCACAGGGATCTGGGGGGAGGCCAGGAGCCCCGGGGCTGCGTGCAGAGCTTGGGGGTGCATGGGCCGCAGAGAAGACTGTGGAGGACAGAGCTGTGTCAGGCATGCTGGCGCTCCCCGTGTCCTAGCCCCGGGACTTCCCGGGACTCCATACTCACTGAGTCAGAGAAGCTAGTCTGCTGATTGGCGTGCTCCATCTGCTTTTGCAAAGACAGGGCACCCCCAGGCTGGAGGAACCCTACGGGGAGAAGAGGTGTGTGAGGGGAGCCGCAGAAAGGACGACCCAGGGAGTGAGGGCTCCTGTGCAGGGGTGGTCACCTGTCTGCGTGGGCTGGAAGTGCCCGTGCACTGCATAAGGCTGCGGCTGCGGCTGCGGCTGCGGCAGGTACTGCACTGCAGGGAAGGCCGGGGGTGCTGAGGAAGGGGAGACGAGGCCATCAGCTCCTAGTGCTCTGGCTACCGTGGCCTCTCTGGTCTGAGGAGAAGCAGCACTCACCCCTGAGCTGCTGGCTAGGACTGTAGGCCGGTTGTGTAGGCCCATAGTGAGGTGGGGGCTGGGCAGTCCCATAAGCACCCCCTGGACTGCCTTGGAACTGTCCATGTTCTGGGGTCCCTGCAAAAGCAGCTGCTGATCCCACGTAGTGCCGGGTCTAAGGGAAGATGAGAACTCATTGCTTACACTACACTTGGAAAAACTTCTATGCTCTGCGTAGTTCCTACACACCACGTGCTTGGTATGTTTGCATGTTAATAATTGGGATGCCAGGAAGAGAAGAGGGAGCAACTGCGGCTACATATCCAGGCCTATCTGTCAAGCTGGGCTTGGTGACAGATTCCCAGGAATCCCAACACACAGGAGATGTGGAGGTAGGATCAGATTTCAAGGCCATTCTTGGCTAGTGACTTAAGAAGCCAGCCCAAGCTTATTATAAGAGACTGTCTTTGGGGAAGGGGGGGTCCTCAAAGACTTTCACCGTAAGCACTTGGGGTCCAAACATCTGCTTGGCTCTGTCAGCTGCCATGAGAGTGCCTGGGCGGTTGTGTCCTCCGGGACTCCCTAGAAAGGGAGAGGGGCTTCATGATTCTGAAGTAGGAGGCTGCAGCCTCCAGGGGTTGCCCCTAGGGTCGCCCCTTCTGTCAGGTGGTCCTGCAGTCCTCACCCTGCATGCTGAGGAGGTGAGTCCCTGTGTGAACCGTCAGGCTCTGCTGATAGGCAGCTGACGTCAGAGTGGTGAGGTCACTGGGGGGAAAGGAAGACAGGCCACTTAGGTGCCCCTGAGAGGACACCTGTCACCTGTCCCACACAGCTTGGCTTGCAGCTATCTGACCACACCTCTGTTCCTTTCGCCTCCGTTTTTCTTCCTCATGCAAAACTTTCTTGAGCTGCAAGAAAAGCTGGTGCTTCTCCTCCTGCAGTGCTGACAGCTTCTCCTGCAGCTTCAGAATCTGGAAGAGGATGCTCAGATAAAGGCAGGGGAGAGAGAAGGCAGAACTGGAGGGACAAGAGGCCACTTACTTGTTCCTTGGTCTCTTCTAGTGACATTCTCTCTTCCATCTCCTTTTTCTTTCTTCTCTCCTGCTCTTCTTTCATTTTCTGTTCCATCATCTTGTCCACCTCTTCCTCCTCTGAAGAATCAGAACGGGGAAGTGGCAAGGCAGTGAAAATAAGCTGTGATAGACTGAAGAGCAGCAAAAACCAGTCATTCCATCACAGCCACAGGGAGGACGAGGTTCGTTAGGTGCTCTCCAAGGTCCTTCCCAGCCCAGGGTTCTGGAACTTAGCTGGGCCTCTTCACTCACACCCCGAATGCGCCGCTGCCTCCCTCTTAGCCTCGCCTGCAGCAGGCGCACGGCTGGGCCCGTGGATGGGCAAGTCCGTGGGTAGCAGAGCCACCCTGGGCCGAGTGTGTGTCCTCCCGCTCTGGCCCAGGCTCACCCTGCCGCTTGCGCTCCCGCTCCATCATGATGTGCCGGTGCAGAGCCCTGGCCATGGCGTTGGAAAGCTTGGGGCGCTCCAGGAGTGCGGGCATGATGCTGTTGATGACGCTTGGGCAGTGGGCGCCCGGCTCTGTCACTGACTGCCAGATCTCAGGCGGGGCCTGCAGGGAAGCGGGAGCTCAGAGGGACGGCGAGGAGGAAGCCCGTGAGCCGCGAGCTCCCGCCGCGGTCACGTGTCCCAGGCGCCAGCGTCCCTCCCGGGTCGCAGCCTCAGTGCCAGCGCGCGTGCGGGGGTCCTAGGCTCCGCGCCCCCGCCCCTCCCTCGTAGGCCTGGCGCCAACCCCCCTACCCGCCTTCTCGGCGCTTTCTCCGTGGCCTCCGGCGCGCCTTGGCCTTACGTCACATCCGGCGGCCTGGAGAAATCCTTCCGGAGTCGTGACGGCGACCGGTTCAGCGGGTTGGACAAAGAGGAAGGCGGAAGCACTTCCGACGGGTGCCGGGTTAGTCCAAATTCCATGTGGGCTTTGAGGCGGCCCAGGAAGCTACAGCTTCTTGCCAAAGGCCCTTAAGTCTTGACCTCGGAGGTCAGGGAAGACAGAAGCAGAGGCAGAGGCTCTGAAGACAGCATTTATTGGCTCCTTAGAAATCAAGAGTCAGTAACAACTGTACAGAGGGCCCTCGGCTCCCTTGGGCCGCCCTTCCTCCCCACTCCCGCCCCATGGTGCCCCGTGGCCACGGAAAAAGCAGCTTCGTGTGGGCAGAGACTCCTTTGGGATTCACAGTAACCAGAAACAAAACGGAAATAAATTAAGTGATATGGGGGAGGGCAATAATAGGGAGTCATGTTCCCTAAATCAGTGCATGAAAGAGACCCAGGGACCGGAGCTGGGCTCCCTCCCAGCTCCCTGCCAGCACAGGGAGCGTGCTGGGCCCTGAATGTAGAGATGTGCTTCACACCTGGCCTAAGTCAAATCCTGTCTACGTGCTCCTCCTGCCAGGAAAGCACCCATCATGCCAGAGTCACAGGAATGAGGTGGAGGCCGGCGTCACCGAGTCCCGGGCCTGAGGCCCAGCTGTGCTTGCAGTGGTGCCCTCTCACCCTCATTCCACCCGCACCAGCAGGGCATAGAGGAGGGTGGCCCCCTTTTCCTTAGTGACCCACTCGAGTTCCGATGGGCTGAAGTGCTGGTCAGGAACTTCTCTGAGGGCCGCAGAAGGAGGCCCAGGAGTGTAGGAGCCTGGGCGCACGCACACCTGAAAGGCCACCTGCGCCTGGTGTGTCCGCTGGGATTTTGGGTCCCGGAATCTGACAAGACAAGCAGAAACAGGAGGAGGTAAGGCGTCCAGGCCCCACTGACGGCTAAGTGTGCTCCCTCAACACAGGCCTTGCTGTTTTCTGGTAAATTCTGGCTACGAATGGCTCATTGCTGCCCATTCTCTATCGTAGACTCTCCTCCCAAGTCCTGCTCAGCTAACTCCTCCACCGCCGTGTTCCTGAACCCTGGCACTCCATTTCATGTCTGTTCCAAACATTCTAAGTGCACTCCCTCTACTTCCCCCATTTCTTCTGGGACAGTATAAGGTCTCTAGCCCAGGCTGGCCTCAAACGTCCTACAGAAGCAGAGGGCAACCTTAAACTTCTGATTCTTTGCCCGATAGGATTCCAGGCCTGTCTATGCAGTGCTACAGGTCAAAGCCAGCCACTGGCGCAGGACACTGACAGACTTGGCCTGCATACACACTCTAGGAAAGCAGGCAGAGAGATGCACTTCTCCAATCCCAGCACTCAGGGTGTAGGTAGAGGCAGGAGCCGGTGTCCAAGGTGGCTTCAGATACAAACCAAACAGGAGTTTGAGGCTAATTGGGGCTATTTAAGATAAAGCCGGGCGGTAGTGGCCCACGCCTGTAATCCAGCACTCACGAGGCAGAGGCAGCAGATCTCTGGGTTTCAGGCCAGCCTGGTCTACAGAGTGAGTTCCAGGACAGCCAGGGCTACTCAGAGAAACCCTGTTTTAGAAAAACAAAACACTAACAAGCAGCACAGCTGTAGGACAGCACTCAGGAGACAGGCAGACAGCCCTCCCTCCGAGTTCGAGGGCAGCCTGGTCTACAGGGCAACTGTAGGTCTACAAGAGAAATCCTGTCTCGGGGGAGGGGGGACGGAGCAACTAGCCAGGCAGGGCGGGAAGAGGGTGTGGTGCCCAGAGGCCCGGGCCCTCCCAGCCTGCGCCCTGGCACTCTTTCTGCATGTACTCACTGCACTTTGGAGGCCAGGGCCTCTGCCCCGGCGTACTGGAGGGAGGGCGAGAGCAGCACTGGAGGGGGCTGCTCCTCCCGGGGAGGCGCACAGTTCTCACCAGGCTCCTCAAATCCCACCCCAGGCTCCCCCTTCGAGGGTCGGCAGCTCAGGATGGAGGTAGTACCTGTGAAGAGATGTGGGTGAAGCCGGGCGCGGTGGCACACGCCTGTAATCCCAGCACTTGGGGAGGCAGAGGCAGGTGGATCTCTGAGTTCGAGGCCAGCCTGGTCTACAAAAGTGATTCCAGGACAGCCAGGGCGACACAGAGAGACCCTGTCTTGAAAACAAAAGCAAAACAAAACAAAAAGACATGGGTGAGGGCAGCCCCGGGACTCCTCCTAGGATCCCTCTGCCCAGCCTGCCTCATGATACCTGCTCCCAACTCCCCTCGGTCCAGCACCCTTCGGACAACCGCTACACTGCTTCCATGATACGCCATGTGCCATTTTTTTGTTAGTGTACCCCCTTCCAGATGGGGATTCACCCTACAAGGACAGATGAGATAGACAAGTCAGAGGTCACTGGCTCCTTAACATCATCTCACACTAGAAGGCCCATCACCTTTTCCATCCTGGGACTCTTCTTTCTCAGGGAAACCAGCACAGAGGAGGATGTATGCCTGTGGCCCACTCGTACCTAAGATTGAACCTGCACCACCCAAAAGGCAGCGCGTATTCCCGAGGAGGCTCTCCACGGCGCCTGTGAGCCTCGTCCCCTCGCAACTTCCGGCAAGATTCACAGTAGCATAAGCTACGCTTCGGTGGAGGCATGAAGTAATCTTCTGTGGGGCAGGGAGTAACAAGCTTGGTGCTCCCGTCCTGGTCTGAGCCACGCCGCTGCCCCATGGGGTGTCCGCGGGAATGAGGGGGCTGGGGACTAGGACTCACCAGGAAGCAACAGCAGTTCTTGGAAGCGGGAGCAGAGGGCATGGTACTCGCAGCTCTTTAAAGGACTAGCAGCAGGCGGTGGACCCCAGCACACACTTTCCTTGATGCCTGAGAGCAGGGGAAGAACAGGATGTCGGACCGGGCTGGGAGGCATGGGACAGTCACGCATGAGCAGATCAGCCAGGGTAGCCACCCCTGGGCTAGCGCACCGTCTACCATGTCAGCTTTCTCCATGTCTCCCTGGGTCCCAGCAGTCTTCCCACCGGCAGCCCCTGGGTCAGGGCTCACAATTGTCACCTGTGGAGGAGAGCAGTCAGCCACAGATGACAGGCCCCAGAGCGCTTGTGAACTAGAAGGTTGCCAGTCCCCCAGGATTCCTCTCCATCACTGTTGCCACTAACCTGCTCACACTGCCCATAGAGGTCCACAAGTGCATGGCACGGCTGTGGCACATCGGGTACGGCCACCCCCTGGTCCACCCCGTTGATGTGGAGATGAAGCCCGCCAGAGCCGTCCAGCCGCAGACCCAGGATGGTGCCTTCTGGGCAGGTGTCTAGGTTTGGCCCAAACTTCTCACAGATCTGCGAGGGAAGACCTACTGTCTTCAGACACCAGACTTGACCACGACCACACTGGGAGCCATCCTGCCCTTTCACTGTTCCTGGTTGCCAGGCCCGAAGCTTTGCCTGTATCTCTGCCCACTGCCCAGGCTCTGCTCCCAACTCACTTGCCAAGAGTCCCCTTTCCTCCAACCTTAACATTCTCAGTGGCAGGGCCCAGGAGGAAGCAACAGGCCAGACTGTCAAGGGGAAGACACACTCGTCTCCCTGTGGGCCAGCTCCTTCCCCTTCAGAGGCTTGCTGGCCGCCCCTCACCTTCAGACCATTGTGGAAGACACCGCGGCCCCGCAGGAGCCAGGCTGCCCGTTTAAGGGCACAGGCAGAGGCAGGGAAGTTCAGCCTCTCAGGTGGGCAGGTGATGACCCCCAGGACGAGGGAAGATGTCCACTGTCGGTTCAGGAAGTCTATCCGCACCTGCGGGAGGAGCAGCTTTTCATATGCATAGCTCCCAGGACAGAGCCACCCGCCTAGCCAGTCAGCCTCTGTCCCGAAGCCAGAGTGTATAGCCTGGCACGCCACCCTTCTTACTGTTCGCAGAGAGCAGATGCCACCAACGCTCTCCTTCCCTATCCCTCTGGCTGCTGGGAACTGAACCCAGGTCCTGTACATGTCAAACAAATGCTCTACCCTGAATTACCCCATGCCCCCAACAAACACCCCTTCTCTTTGAATCCTGTCTGTTCCTAGAGACTTACAACTGGCTTTTTTTTCTTTCCGGTTTTGGTTTTGGTTTTTGGAGACAGCCCTGGCTCTCCTGGAACTCACTATGTAGACCAGGCTGGTCTCGAACTCAGAAATCCGCCTGCCTCTGCTCTAAGAACTTAGACTAAAGGTGTGCACCACCACCGCCAGGCTCAACTGGACTGTATCTGTCTTCACTGGCAGCAGAAAGGGTCTCTCCCTGGAGCAGCAGGAGCGAGGCAGAAGGGCACACCTGAACAAGCATATGTGGCACCAGCGGCTGGCCGATGACAACGATGCCCTGATTGTAGCTGGCCACGCGCGTGGCGGTGCGGTTCCCGTTGGATAAGAGGATGTTCTTCCCGTGGTTCTCCAGGAATTCAAGGGCTGCGGGCACAAGGCCCACTTGACTCTGGCCCTGGTGCGGAACAAACACTGAGCTGACGGATGTGAGGGGCAGGCCCCACCCACACACTGGAGGGCACCTTGGCGACCAGCGGCCCACCAACCCAGCAGGCCCGAGTGCAGCCTCTCACTCTCAGCCCATGCTCCTCGCCCTCATCTTCTTCCTCGCCCTCACTGCCGGTGTCGGAGCTGGGGGATGGTGGCTGAGTGCCTTCTGGTTCCTCCAGCCGTGTGGAGCTGACAATGGACACGCTGCGCACTGGCCCGTAGAGATCCAGCACCGCCCACACACTCTGACAGCACAAGACCAAGGGCGTACGTCAGCAATCGGCACAGGCCCATCGGCCCGCTCAGCTCCGGAACCCAAAGCAGCCCGCAGCCCACCTTGGCAATGCCGGTGGCGGCAGGCCCCATGTCTTCTCCATCCACCAGGATGTGCATTGTGCCATCTGCACCCCGACGAATGCCCACGCGGCTCCCCACCTAGACCCAGGTTGGACAAGATGGCTGCTCAGCCCTCCGTCTTCAGGCTCACTCCCAGCCCAC